TTGGATGGATGGATGGTTGTGTATATGGATGTGTGTATGGTTGGATGGATGGATGATGTGCCATAAAGTCATGGTCTTTATGTTAGTGACCACATAGAAAGACCTATTCCACAATTACCTGTCCCCAACCTGGCCCTTCAAATCTTTCAATGGTGCACCCATTGCCATTGTAATTGAGCCCATCCACCTTGCTACTGATCATCCTCTTTTTCTCTTTATTTCCATGGTTCCCATGATGCATTATAGACTTCTTAAGAGAACCAGGGCTGATCATTTGAGCCTGACAGTTCAGTGAATACAACAAGAACTCTGGATTGACTTGTCTTATGATCCATTTGTTGTTTTCTTGGCTGTTATATTCTCAAGAGTCTTTTTCAACACAAAAGTTCAAAAGCAACAATGGTCCTTCTCACTTGCTTCTTCAGAGTCCAACTTTTGCTTCCATGTTGTATCACAGGGAAAACCACTGCATGAACAGTTCTTATCTTTGTAGGTATAGACATAACACGGTTTGAAGGCCAGCAAAGACAAGGAACGTTTCTCAGACATTCCTTTTTAGAGAACCAAACCAACAATCTCATGCTATCTTGAGAGTAAAAAAAAGCAAGATGTATTTTTGCAAAGTTTGCAGGATCCATAGGTCAGATGCATCAAGAGAAATTGTTATGCTATATAATATATGTAAAAAATAGCAGTGCACTTATTATAAATCCTCAAGAAGAGGGTTCATTCCATCACTGGACAAGTTGTTGCATTCCAAATGTTTCTGGCTACTTCTCTTAGAATCCCGAAAGAGTGGCTGAGATGAGTTGTAGCAAAAAAGTGGAAGACACATACTTTGTTGCACATCTCTAAAAGTTTTATTTGCCCAAAATATGAATATATGCTGTAAACACCCCCAGTTTGGTGCCTATAGCCATGCTGGCTTTGATTTCTGCAATTCCAGTCCATTCTGCAATTTGGAAGGTACCAAATTGAAACTTTGTGCCTTTGAGTCAATCTTAACTCCTGGCGATTGCCTGGACAAGTCCCTGCAGGTTTCTTGGCAAGGTTTTTTCAGAAGTGGTTTGCCATTGCTCCTTCCTAGGGCTGAGAAAGAGTGACTGGCTCAAAATCCCCCAGCTGGCTTCATGTCTAACACAGGACTCACGGTCTCCTGGTTTCTAGTCTGATGCCTTAATCTCTACACCAAACTAGCTCTACAAATGTCCCCAGTTTGTACCTATAGCCATGTTGGCTGTGATTTCTGCAGTTCCAGCCCATTTGGAAGGTAACACGTTGGAGAAGGTGGATATAGAAGGTAAGAAATGACTCTTCACAAAGCTGTGCCAAGCTGTAGCAAAAGTGAAAACCATGGGCATGCTTCAGATCATAGCAAAGAGAGCCAAATTTGCAAATGTGGAACTGAGCTAAGGTTGAAAAAGAAGGTAGCCCCAAATTATAACTGGTCATGCATGCTATTCTATGCAGATTCTTCACTGGACACTGCTCTGAATGACATTACTCATTTGCGCATGTGCATTCTCTCACATCAAACATGAACATCAAAAGTGACTGCTATCATAATAGCCCCAGAGTGATGCTATATTGTTCCTGTTAATTCTGGGCAACACAAGGGAAACAGACTAATGTTGTTACTACCATCACCGCTCTCATTTAGACCCTACTAGTTATGTTTATTTATTATTTATTTATTAAATGTATATAGCCACCCATCTCACTGCCGTGACTCAGGGTGGCTTACCAAGTTAAAAATTCCAAAAAATAATACAAAAACCACCAAAAAATAACTGCAAAAAATCATTAAAAACCACTAAAAACATTAAAACTATTAAAACCATCAAAAACATAACCTGTGGGAAAGATGGAAAGATTCTGAAATACCCACAATGGAGGGATGGTTGGTGAAGATGACAGAATAGTCAGAGACGGCAAAACTGACTTGTTTGATAAGAAAAAAGACAATAATTACATTTGTTAATGACCGGAAACCCTTTATGGGCTTTTTGCTGAAAACAGAAAGAAATGAACTTGTGATTTATGAGTTTGTTGATTAGAAAGTGTAGAATATGGAAAGAAGGGAGACATGATGTAAGCTTAGAGAGGATAAAATATAAAAGTATTCATAACTGCTTTGAAGAAGATTGGAAGCCACTTCTTTATAGCTTTTTTTCTCTTTCTTTTTTCTCCTTTTTCATTTCTTTCCTATTTACTGATCACTTTTATTTCCTTTTTTCTTCAAATTTGTATTGTTTTTACTTGGTAAAAAAACCTCTTTAATAATTTTTTTAAAAAAATAAATAACCTGTGGGAGAGCCCCATTCATTTTCCTAAAAGTACAACCATTTAGCAAACTCTCCACCGTCAATGGATCCCCAGGTCAGATGGCAAAGCCATGTCTTCAGGCTCTTCCAGAAGGCCAACAAGATCGGGGCCAATCTACCTCAGGGGGGGATGATGTTCCAAAAGGTGGGTGCCACAGCAGAAAAGGCTCTCCTCCTGGGTCCCATCAGATAACACTCCTTCGTAGGCGAGGCCCACAACCCACCCTGTCTGCCAGATCGGATGGGACAGGTAGATCTAATTGGGGTGAGGTGGTCCCTCAAACACCCTGGCCCCATGCCATGTAGGGCTTGCTTGTCCTATTTTATTTTATTTTATTTTATTTTATTTTATTTTATTTTATTTTATTTTATTTT